TGATTGGGCCGGCACGGATCACGTGACTGGGCATAGGGCATGGTGCAAAGGGCCGGCAGCATGCCAGGCCTGGCATGGGCGTTCAACCGCGACACGTGACTGCAACTGTAGGCACCAGCTTGTTTATTTGTACCAGTAGTTGACTGCTGTAACCCAGAGACCATTTAGAGTGCTGTGAGGATGTATGGTGATACAGTCGACCTACCCTTATTACGATAACCTCTATAACGATATTACCCTTATAACGATATTTTTTTGTCCATCCTAATCACTCCATTGACTTTTGTATACAATGCCTTACCCTTATAACAATATTGCTATAATGATATTACCCCTATAACAATATAAGGCCATCATTTTTTATATCTATGTTTCGCGTCAGTTCAACTTCCAGAATCATATGCGAGAGGTGGAAAAAAATAAAAAGTTTCAAAATAATAAAAAAAAGCTCATCAGAGGTGTATAGAATTAGCTAGAACTGTACATAGCACAATAGCTCGTTCATGTTGTACATTCGAAAGAAAAGTCGTGCATCGAAGGACAAAGTTTGGAGTTTTGAGCATGAGTAAATATTCACTTTGGACAGAGGAGGCAACCATTGGTGCCCATACTTCGCTGGATTATTGTACTCAGACTTCAGCAGCGGTGCAAAGAGCTCCGGAACGACGCATCCTCTCAGCTTGAGGTAATCGATGCGGTCTGGTGTAAGCTCATAGAATACTGCTCGCAGATGCCGAACAGACGATTTACCAACGCTGGCCTCAAGGCCATTTCTGAATCTCAGCTTTGCCGTATGCAACCAGTCCACACTGATGACTCGTACTGGATCGTGCGATTGTACACTCACCATGCATGTTCGATTTTTTTCCGAAAAAAATCAAAACGTATGCGTGCGGACGACGCGAAACATAGATATAACAAATGATGGCCTAGAATGGGCTGACCACTCGGCATTTTTCCATTTTATAACAATATCTAGCAGGGAATACGTAGGCTCCACTATCCAAGTAGGGCAAGTTTCACTTGATAAGTCACTGGGATATGACAAAATGCGATGGGGGCTCCATTGATGCCTTGCTATGTACATAATGTGCATAGAACATACATGTACGCAAGTTTTTATGCTCTAAAGAGTGTAAAAAATGAACAAAAATCATGCATTATGACGTACATGTATGAAATGAACCAATACCCTTATAACAATATTACCCTTATAACAATATTTCTTGGTCTGACGCAAATATCGTTATAAGGGTAGGTCGACTGTACTGGAGTGTTTGGTACTTGCTGATTTTTACTACTATCTAATCTATGTGTATGTCTGTATGTCTGTCTGTCTGTCTGTCTGTCTGTCTGTCTGTCTGTCTGTCTGTCTGTCTGTCTGTCTGTCTGCACCCCCCCCCCCCCCCCCCCCCTCTCTCTCCCTTTCTCTCTTGCACCCTTTCACCATACTCACTATCAGGGAAGATGAGATAGCAGCAGCGGAATGGCTTCTATTGAACAGTTGTGACCCTTCTGTGGACGACCCATTGCCAGCCACACCACCAAAACCTAAGGCAAGGAGTCGCCGAGGACGATGGAGACAGCAGGAGTTTGTACCCAGTCAAAGTGTAAGAGCCTGTTTTTTCCTCCCAGTGGTTGTGTGTGTGTGGGGGGGGGGGGGGGCTCTTCTGTAGGTGTTTTCCTGGTTGGCGGCTCTATGCTACCGACGCCTGCATTCTTGCAACTCCTGATGGTGTATGCGTACCTAGAAGGAGTGGAACCTATGCATAATCTTCCTGACATTTGGTTTTGCGGGGCCAGGTCCACTACTGCCATACACTCTGTGATGCCAGCCCTGCTGCATAAAGTGAAAAATGAAAGTGGACGGTCGTACAAAAATAATGTACAGTCCTGCTCAATGAAATCCAGTCGTGTCACTCAAGTTGGCGCCTTCCACCATTTCACAGCCCAGTGTTCGCAGGTCTAGGGCTGCGCAACGGCCGGCGCGTACTTGAGCGACGCGACTGGATTTCATAGCAACCCTGTATTTTAGCGGTTGGAACCTGCCAAATATGGGATAAGTTGCCCCAGGCCGCAGATAGCGTGCAGTCAGGCTTTATGCATCGGTGCCATTGGACAGCTTAGCTTGGAACGTTTGGTGCTGTATTCAGGTGTCTTATCAGTTTGATCCTGTTGTGCGCGTGTGTGTGTGTGTGTGTGTGCGTGTGTGTGTGTGTGTGTGTGTGTGTGTGTGTGTGCGTGTGTGTGTGTGTATGTGTTCTCCTTGGGTGCATCACAGGCATTGCACAACTTAAAAGAGATTGGTTTTGATGAGGCTGCCATCATCACTGCATTGAAAGCAACTAACAATAATCAAGAGCAAGCGGTAAGGCAGTGTGTTTGGCGTGTCATTTTTCTGCCTCGGTAATGCTTTCTGATGATGGCGGAAACGTTGTTAACTGAATAAACTTAAAGTGTGATAGAAGCAGCTTTTGAGCATGCAGTCGAATGGCTTGTTCCTTTGTCTCGGATATAAAAGCTGTGTGGAATCCGCTCCATGTCCCTATAGTATTTATTATTACTGATATTTGGGAGGGGAGGTTAGAGGGTCTCTCCTCTCTGTGTGTGTGTGTGTGTGTGTGTGTGTGTGTGTGTGTGTGTCTCTCTCTCTCTCTCTCTCTCTCTCTCTCTCTCTCTCTCTCTCTCTCTCTCTCTCTCTCTCTCTCTCTCTCTCTCTCTCTCTCTCTCTCTGATTTTCGCGTGGCATTGTCGCTTGGTTTCTGGTCATGGACAACGGCTAGAGTGCTGCAATCGCATAATCAAAATGATATGTTATGCTAAGGTCTGTGTGTTTGTGTTCACTTCGACGGTTGTAGAGAAAATCTTCAGGTGATATGCACCCGGTCGCCTGGTGTACCATTTTGGTTGATGTATATAATCACTTGTAAAACATTAACACTTGTGTGTGTGTGTGTGTGCGTGCGTGCGTGCGTGCGTGCGTGTGTGTGTGTGTGTGTGTGTGTGTGCACCTGTGTGCACCTGTGTGCATGCGTGTGTGATATCTCTACTTGTTTAGTGCGAGTTCTTGCTGAGCGGACAAACGTTCACTGAACCAACACCACTTGATAAGTCCAGGTAAATTGTGCACAGAAAAAGTTACCTCTTGCTGCTGCTCCTGCTGCCGCTGCTGCTGCCGCCGTCGCTGCTGCTACAGGCTCTAAAGCCAGGAGGCCCCTTGCCCATGCATGTACCATTGCCAAAGTACCGTTGATCTGCCCCCCCCCCCACGTTTTGTCGCTTCCCAGCTGGGTTTTTTTGTAGCTTGGATGGGAATTAGATCAAGGCTCTCAAGTGCAGTACTATGTGCCACTACACGAAAGATCAGACGTGCAATGCTGGATTGTGCGTATTTTCATCCATAGGCATACCTGCGCTGGCACGTATTGTTTGTAGCAGTGCATGCGTCGGTTCAATACCGTTTTTTGACCTTTGTGCTGAAGCCTCTTCACGTTTAGAAATTCGACATGAGGCGGAAATTAGAGAGGTGGTGGACCAATACAGTCAGACCTCGCTTATCCGGTCCTCTTTTATCCGGATCCCTCGCCATCCGGAAGAAAATCGTTGGTTACCGATTTACAGCATTATGTCATGCATACATACAGTATGAGTGTTCGATTATCCGGTTCCCTCGCCTATCCGGATATTGTTGTGGAAAATGGATGCGTGGGGTTAAGCGAGGTCTGACCGTAGTACAGTAGTGTGCAGGGAGCACAGTCCAGTATAATCTACACTGTGCTTGGGATACAGTGAGCCATAAAGAACTGTAGCAGAACGCCGTGTTAGGCTGTAGCGCTCACTCATACATGGGGAACATATGTGTTGGACTCAGTAGAGCGTCCAGCCCCTATATGATGTCCAACCCCTATATAGAGTCCATTGGTCCAAAATCCACTGTACAGAGTCCAAACTTGGAATCAACTGTGAGCTCAAAGTTTAGATGGACATCACTCCCTGTATAGAGTCCAGCCAATTGGCTTCACCCCTATATAGAGTCCATTGGTCCAAAATCAACTGTACGGAGTCCAAACTTTGAAATCAACTATAAAGAGTCTTTATGTGGACAACACTCCCTGTATAAAGTCCAGCCAATTAGGCATCCCCTATCCAGAGTTCGAAATTAGACATAGGATCTGCTGTAAGCAGTGAATATTAACCAGAAAACGGCCTCTCCCTTTAATCCTTTACATCATTCACTTCTTAAGATAAAAAATAAGTATTGAGGCGCCACTGCAGCCACTTCATTACATGAAAAACCCTACAAACACCATCCTCAAATCAAGTGGTCTCTTCGCAGACGCTGCAAATTACAATATCTCAATCATGTAGTGTTGCCAAAGTATTGTGCACGCACACACACATGCACACACCCACACAACGCCAAGAAAATACCTAGAAAAAAAACAAGAATTGAAAGAGAATAATGGAGAGCCAAGGATTAATTATTTGTTTTCAAATTATGCTGAATGCGGAAAGCCCGGCTTCCAGCCGAGTCTCACGCGAACCGTGATTTTTTTTTCAAATTATTGTGCGCACGCACACACACACACAAACTTATACAACGCCAAGAAAACACCAAGAAAAGAGTAGAGACACAATACACACACAACTCCAACAGCCATGCAAACGTCCACCTATTTACACGTAAAGTCAAGAGGGATAACAAATAATTATACGAAACGAATGCATACGTGGGCGGATGCACGCACGTTTACATACATGTAGTAGTGTAAGAGAGTAACATAGTGCAGTAGTCAGCATAATACCAGCACATGCTGAGAGTGCAATAGCAAGCTTCACCATTGCTCATGGCCATGCAAATGTTCAGCAGCACTCAGTTCCGCAAGCTTCTGAAGATCAACACACCTGCAACAAATAGATAGCACAAGGATACGCTTATTACCGTAATGATGCATGGGAGCACACAACTACCAAGTTCTCAACGAATGTGATGCTCAATGAGAATCCATCCACGCAAAGACCTGTGAACAGGTGACGGTGGGGGCAATCATCTATTAGTAATACGAGGAATAAGGTCGTTTGTGCACACTCAAGACGCACAGACACACCACCATACATGAAGTGTACACAGTGTTTCACTTCACTGTAACTAAATTGAAATGAGATGATTTGAACAATCTGTACAGCGTTGCCGTCAGTCAGTCTTCCCCAAGATGGAAATGCAACGATTTGTTGTCACGAGGCAGTTTTTTGACACAATGTCATGTTTGTGACATCAAAACGGTTACTTCATGGAATACGAGTACATGTATTAGCTTGAGAAGCTTTTTCTTGTCATCGGCATACAAGAAATCCTCCTACTACTACTACTAGTACACTGGCACTGCGTTTGTGGATCCCATTGCATTTAACATCATACTAGAGCCTAGTAGAGGAAGAGTGTCGTGGAGTTCACATAATTATCACAGGGATAAAAATACATTTCTCATGAAATAAAATAATAATTGATGATAGCTGACGATCGTATACGATTGATGCAAAGTCCTTGCAGTCCTTGAGGATTATTACGAAGTGGTTGATTACTTTTAGGGCATTCATTCAAGCAACATCAAACAAACGCGATACGCTCCTTGAAAATGGAAACAAATTCAAGCATAACGACAGAACCGCAGACCAATCGAAACGAGTAAAAGCTTCCTTACCTCAGTCATCGTCCTGCCATGTAGTTGAACAGCCTTTTGACACGGTGGTACAGGCAGCTCTTGTCCAGTCGAACAGGGTATCCTTGTGGCGTCGAACGAAAGAGAGTGTCAGTGTATCTGACTCGTCAGATTGGAACTGTGCTGAACTGTTCTCGTTCTCCGCTTTCTGCTTTCATCCCTCGCTCTGATGAAACCGTTCAAACGTCTTACTGGCAGCAATGGCCAGCCAAACAGGGGATCTTTGTGGCGTCGAACGAAAGAGAGTGTCAGTGTACCTGACTCGTCAGATTTGAACTGTGCTGAACTTTTCTCGTTCTGCAATTTCTGCTTTCATCCCGCGCACTGATGAAACGTCTTCAGAGAACCACAAGACGCTTTCCAGATTTGATTTTGAACGTCTCCTTGTCCTCCTTGGTTACCTCGAGACAGATTACTGTCAGGAACTGCACAGCAGAACTGACAGCCATGGCTGAAGTGAAGAAAGGAATGCGCTGCCACGAGGCAAGCAAAACTGAAAAGGTGTTTGTTCTCTTTCGGGCACAACACACAGTACAGGACGGCGTTACTGGATAAACTGGACTCCTGAACCGTGAAGTTATAGGGGATTGCGCGGCAGGATGAAGCTGATCAAAACTGAGTGGACTCCTGGACTCTGTATAGTGGATTTTGGACCAATGGACTCTATAATGCTGGACATCATATAGTGCATGGACTCTATACTGAGTCCTACATATGTACAGTACTTCCACTTGAAAGTGCAGATTTGTTTGTCTCCCAGAGGTGTGTTATACTGAAGTTTCACTGTGTGTGTGTGTGTGTGATTGTGTGTGTGTGTGATTGTGTGTGTGTGTGCGTGTATGTGTGTGTGCGTGCGTGCATGTGTGCGTGTATGTATGTGTGTATGTGTGTGTGTGTGTGTGTGTGTGTGTGTGTCCATGGGTGGACGTACATATGTGTGTTCACAGCCCACTGTACAAGGACCTGTTCTCCAACAGCATGGTCCTCAACAGCCTAACCAAACCATCTGTGCTTGAAGGTGAGTTTTGTTGACTGGTTGCAGGCGCGTACGCAGGGTCACCTCTAGGGGGGTTTCCAACCGAATCCCAAACAACGACTCGTTTGTTAACCTTTTCTAAAGAGCCCTAGGAATTTTTCAAAATGATGCATTTTTTCGTGTTCTTTGGATCATAACTTCAGTTCTACTCACTCAATCTTCATTGTCTTGGGCTTCCTGGAAGTGGAAAGGTACCCGGGAGAGAATGAGGTCGACCATGATAGCCAGGACACAGTAGAGTCATGTACATATCCAGCGCTATTGCGCTAGAGTGCAGCGATGGTGCGAAAAATGCCCCAAAGGCCCAAACGCGTCCTGCTCCAGCTATTTCGTTTTCTTGATCGCAGAGTTTCGATTTTTTTGCTGTGTACTCTTGAAAATATCACAAGTGATGCCCCTTCAAATTTGAGCAAGTCGGCGTGACAAAAAGTCTCAAATTCTCGACACTCGAGTCGCACTGCGCGCTTTTGAAAATTGCGAGATTGCGGCTCAACTTACGAATGATTTATCTCAAGAGACATTGCTCGCAGCGCGTCGCATATTGTTTCTACCGACAGCTGAGAGTTTTGTATTCGACCTGGATATTTGGATTGTTGGATTTGAGCGAGATTTGACTGAGTTGCGATCTGTTGAAGTTTTGCATTCTTGCCAGATCGATCGTGCGCCCTACAAATAAATGCCCCAAAAAAGTTGCTCGTTTGGAACATTTGGGGGGGGGGGGGGTTCCAGGCAACGGGAAACCCTCCCTGCGTATGCGCTTGGGTTGACTGGTTGGAGTGTCCAAGCTAACTTGCGTGGAACTCGTAAAGTTTCCTGAAACACTAGAGTGGTTTGGATGTAGCAAATTAATGTAGTTGGTGGTGCTTGCTTAGCTTGTGGTCTCTGTGTGTCCTTTTGCTGGCGTAGCCGCCACCATTGCTTCTTTTCCTTTCTGCTATGGCTATTGCCACTGATGCCCCTGCATTTGCACCGTGTGTGTGTGTGTGTGTGTGTTTCTGTGTGTGCTGTATAGCTCTGATTCGCCTGCAAGACTCTCCGGATGGCGGCCTGGCAGCGTTCATGCACGACAAGGATTGCGGCTTGTTTCTTCACGTCGTCACCAGGATCGTGCAGAAGCATGTTCCGGAAATGTACTGAACTACTGATGAGTGACTGATGGACGACACATACAGGGCTGATGAGTAGCTGCTCCTTGCTGGTTCCCGTGACTATGCACTGTGTGCATTGGTCTGGTCTTGGTGGACGCCAAGAGGCACAGTCCTGGCTGGTGTTTGGGCTGTTTGTTTGATCAATCCATACTGTACCCGCTCATAGTCTCTGCCGTCACACACACACATGGATCGTTGATATTCCAACCTCGTCTGATTCCGATAGACAGCTTCCTGACATTGTGATGCTGGTTGACCTATTCTGTTGACCTATTCTGTTGCCGGCGGATATCCTCTCAACCTACTGGTGGACATCTTCTTGATTAGGTGGCCGTTCTTTTGACCCGGTCTGCTATTGGTTGGCCTCTTCTTGATTAGTCTGCTACTGGTGGACATAATCTTGACCTATTCTGCTTCTGGTTGTCACCCTCTTGAGCTATTCTGCTTCTGGTGGACATCTTGACGTATTCTGCTACTGGTGGACATCTTGACGTATTCTGCTACTGGTGGACACCTTGACCTGTTCTGCTACTGGTGGATGTTTCTAATCCCCTCTAGTACCAGTATGCAAATGCCTGGTGTCGACTAGCACTGGTTTGCCCAGTTGCCCAGTGTTTTCCTGATCTGGTAAGACACACGTTCTATATCTACAGATTCGCGTATAACCGTAGCCCAATGGCGACTAAGACCTGTGTGCACATTCTCGATCTCTGCTGCTACCAAAGTGTATAATTATATTATTCATCCTGTGTGAAGCTGGCGAGCACGCTCTGGATCTCCCCTGGAACTGGAAGATGCGTTCCCCTATCTCTACTGAAACTGGAATGTACTTTTCTCTATCTCCACTGAGCCTGGAGTACCAGTCTCAGCGAATAGCAATTATGTGCACAGGTCCTCATCTCTGCTGATGTGCCATGTCTGTCAGATGCCACTTCTGATTGCGGTGTGTACCTATTTCCACTGGTGATTTGCACATCCCATAGTCTGGGCAGCAGTAGCAGCAGTAGCAGCATCAGCAGTGACAGCAGAGCAGCGGCAGTGACAGCAGAGCATCAGCAGTGACAGCAGAGCAGTGGCAGCGGCAGCAGTGTCCAGTTAGCTGTATGTCTGTTCTTCACCGTATAGTGCTCAATGAGGAAGTACTAGTAGCAAGTTCATCTGTGCTTGAAGGTGGTCAGATTCTCTTCTCTAACCTTCTGTTCATTGGTGTTGCATGGAGGTGGGTGACTTCATGACGTCTTTGGATGCAGGCTATCATGATTATTATGCCCTGCTGGATGATATCGTTCGTTGATCTTTCCTCACGAGTTCTGGCCGCTTGCCATCAGGGTGACATTTGCCTCAGCTGCGGAGTCTGAGGGTACTGGCTGTCTTTGCTGATGCTTGTTACCAACGTATCACTAACTACATGGTGATCACCATGAATTACACACATCACTCTGTGATCAAAGTCAATGACTTTTGTAGTGCCTGGCTCAGCTTGGACTGTCTGCAATGGCTACGCTGTACGAAACGGTTGGCTGGTTTTGCCAAACACGCATGCCCGAGTGCATGTGTGTGTGCGCGCGTGCATGCTCGTGTGGGTGGGCGCGCATGCGTGTCACTCAAACTAACCACCCGGGACCGTGCTTCTATTTCCCGGCGGTATTTTCGCCCCGGGCCCTGTTTTTATCACACTCATTGCACCACCACCTAGCTTATCCACGTGTCACTGTGTTCTGTCAGGATGCTGCTGTCACACAGTCTATTCTGACAAACTCATTTCCCCACCCACCGCCAATGAGAATGGCTCTTTTCAGTTTTCATCCCCGGATTTGTTTTCTTTCTTCCATTGCATCGGCTGCTGAATAGAAATTTCTGGTTCATTCTACAGACTGTCCAATCTCCTGGCAACCCCAAATCTAGACACCCTTCAAAGCCGTTCTTTATTTTCTCTTTTTTTTGCTGGGAAGATCTGAACGCACACGAAGTGGTGCAAGTGGGTATGAAGCTGCAACGGCAGCCAATGCCGCGTGAATGTGCTATCGTCGCTACAAAGAGTCCATACTCCCCAGCATTATGGACTCTTGTCGATACAAAGATAATACATGTTTTTTGATTTTGACAGCATGTTACAAGGCGAGGACGCGTAGTGCTCCTGACTACAACCATAACCCGGTTGGCAGAGTCCCGGTCTTGCGACCATTTGAACCGTATTGGGAAAACCCAGGTTCGGACCCTCGTTACTCTATAGGGGTTGGTAGGATTATTACAACAAAAAATCTTTTTTTGTTGTGTTGTACCAAGAGTACATACCCCCCCCCCCCCCCCCTCGGGGGTTATGTACTCTTGGTTGTACATGTAGATGTCGTCGTCGCGCCGCCGCAGTATTGTTCACGTTGTCGCGTTGCTGCCATAACATGCTGTCAAATCGAAAAAACATGTTAAACTACCTATACCAAAGATAATACATGTACTGTCCATGTGTACGGCCGGTGGCTAACAGGGTAACAAGAACCTGTGTGTATACTGACTGTTATCAATCGGTTGTAGTCATTATTGTAACATTGCATTATATTACTGTACCAACATAAGTACAATCGTACAAGCAGTCCATTGCACAAAATACAAACTGTCTCACCAACAACTAACTAATTACTTGAAAGTGGGACAAAAGTTCATGAAATCTGGACGAAAGGCGTCCTGATGAGGACCGGTCGACCGACGGCCGGCCTGGGCCCGGGCGCCCGGGCATGCACATCATTGCCAAGGCATTTTTCTCTCAAACCTAGCTGTGTAACATGACGTAATGCACCATCAACCAGTGCAGTACAGTGCAGTACAGTCTAGTCTGCAGTATACCAGTATACAGTTTTCTCTCACACTCAAACCTACGTAGCTGGCCCTGTGTAACATGACGTAATGCACCATCAACCAGCTACAGTCTAGTCTGCAGTACCAGTGCATGCATATGATCAAGAGTACATAACCCCCGGGGGTTATGTACTCTTGATATGATGCATGATGATCATGATGATAGGCTCATGATCATGTGACATGTCATGACCTCATGCATATCAATATTATTGTGTACCCTTTTGATGAAAAACTACTCTTCTTGTGACGAATTATTATCAAGAAAGGGTTAGCTTTGACGAACCAGGGAAAGTAACAGTTCGTTCTTTCTCCAGTATTTGCGGGACGAGCAAAGGCAAGGTTCAGTACTACAGTAGAAGTAGCTTGGCAATTGTGGAACCGCAACTTCGCCTGCACCGCACGCGAAGTTGATTACAATGAGCGGCCGTTCTAATAAAAGGTGAGCTGATCACCAAAATGTATTTTATTGAATTTCAAATTCATTGAGGTGGTTGAAACATGGTCTAACTTTCTGCTGTGGCAACAGGTATTCTGGCCGTCAGCATGGTGGAGGATCATCTGTAAGTTTACACTACATCTACTCTTTCGTAGTCTTTACAGGTTTCTATACCTTTGAAGGCGAAACTTCTCTTTGGCGGTCTGGGCATGTCTTGGACCTTTTTTGTCAGTTTCATCTTTCTATTTTCTCAATTAACTAAATCCAGCGCTGTGGATGAATGGTGAAGATCTGTGCCAGTCTCCTATGTTTGTATACAAGGATGTAAATCCATTTCCACTATTGATTGTGCCACGTGTACCTTCAGGCGCAGGAGAACAGTGCACTAATGAACGACAAGTTCGTCTACGACATAACTTCATGCATTGTAAGTCTTCTATGATGTTCTGCACTTAGTACTACAGGTTACAGCGTGTATCTACATGTATGTAATCCAGTGCTGATTGTGTGTTCGTTGTACCAAATTTACCTTGGTTCGCATAAGCCAAATTGGCACCGGGCGGCACTGGCGTTGGCCCTGCTCCCGTTGGCTGCACCGGTGACAGCCGGAGATTATGTACGTACGGCTTGATTCAGATTAGATGCAGGCATGACCCTGGCCCGGTTCCCAGGTAGGCCGGGTAGGCCGGGAACCACCCGAGAGCCAAGGTCTGGATAACTGTTACTGGTACTGTGCTGCATTGTACTGTAGAGTGTATACAGTGATCCTATGCAGCAGCTGGTCATCATGTATGCTGTCCGTATGTGTGTAATTCACTGCCTGATCTTATTCGGTGTGATCTATCCTCTGTGTGTGTGTGTGTGTTTGTGTGTGCGTGCACACCCTTGTTCTCTTGGCCTGTTTGCAGGGCCTTAGGACGTGTGTAAATTTGAAGAGCGGTGAAATTCTGGACGGAGTACTCTTGAGCTACATGCAACACAAGGTGTGTTTTTATTTGTTTTGTTTTTACCAAATCAACATACTCTCAAAGAATGTGATGGTAATGCCCTGACTTCCTCGGAGACAGGAAGCACCAGAGGGGCATGAATATACCACCACATGATGAATAATGACGAAAGGGATGAGAGTGTCTCCAGTGGGGTCAGATGAGGAGCATTTTTTTGGATAAAGGCCGATTCGCAATAGAACTTTTGCGACTCGATTTGAGACAGTTGCGACAAGAAAATGCCTGTCGCGTGCAGTCGCAAGGTACCTGTCGCAGAAGTTGAAGAAAGCTCAACTTTTGCGACATGCGACGCACGCCGTACACAAATGGAGTACAGTTTCTGCATGTGCAGTGCACGCCGTACACACATGCAGTACAGCTTCTGCATGTGCAGTGCACGCCGTACACACATGCAGTACAGTTTCTGCTTTGGGTGCATGCAGTACAGTTTCTGCTTTGGGTGCATGCAGTGCACATGCATAGTACTACTACAGTGACACCTGTCTAAGGCGACCGCTCAAGGGACGAGAAAAAGTGGTCGCCGTGGCCAGGTGGTCTTCTTATCCAGGTTCAGTGGGTCACGTGACCATATCCACAGGTGACACATCATTTTGAACAGACTCAGTGTATCACAGTGCACACGCCAATGCTACTCTAGCACGACTCACGTGCCTGGGGTCCTCAGACCTGTCAAGTGTAGATCTACCATGCATGGTGCACCATGCAATACGTACATGTACATGTACTAGCACTGTGCAACGCGCTCGCGGGTGGAAGGTCGTCGGTCGCATTGAGCGAGAGGTCGCCTTATCCGAGCTGTTTTGAATGTGAATGCGTCCGTGACAAGGAAATGTGGTCGCCATGGTTGAGTGGTCGCCATGGTCGAGTGGTCGCCATTACAGGTTTTACTGTAGTGAATAGGGATGTCGCAAACATCAAACAGTGTGTCGGTGTCGCAAGTCGCAGGTCGCTTCGCAAAAAGTTGTACAGTCAGACCTCGCTTATCCGGTCCTCTTTTATCCGGATCCCTCGCCAACCGGGAGAAAATCGTTGGTCACCGATTTACAGCATATGTCATGCATACATACAGTATGTGTGTTCGATTATCCGGTTCCCTCGCCTATCTGGATATTTTTTTGTGGAAAACGGATGTGTGCAGTTAAGCGAGGTCTGACAGTATTGTGAATCGGCTTATTGGGAGCGGCCATGCATCCATCTAAACACATGCACATCCCCTCATAATTATATTCATCATGTCTCATTCTCTTCGGCAGTACCACAGAAACTGACACCATGTGGATACATGTTCCCGTACATCCTGTACACCATTTGAATGGTGCTTCGGGCGGGGGAAATGCCCAAAACCTCAATTTTGTCCCTTCAATTCAGGGCAAATGGGCACTTAAGATAATCAATCGTTGACGTTTGGATAATCGGTACTCAGTAACTCTACTGTAGTATTTACTTGCTGTTGGTTGTATTTGCTTGGTTTTGTGAGATGATGCTAGGTCAGCCTTAGAGCACAGTGACAGCTTGTGTAGGGGACTTCTACATTGTATGTGTCTAAAGCGGGATTCACAGAAGCTTTTTTGCGATGCGACACGCGATGCGACAGACGCGAAACCGGGAAAACCCCAAATCGCAGCCATGTCGCACCCCACGCAACTGCCGCAACTGGGCCATCGCAGGCCATCGCAGAAGTTGAGCTTGGCTCAACTTTTGCGATGCGATGCGATGCGACAAGCGATTTGGTGTACGATTTTGACCTTTTCTACAGCAAAGTTGTACAAAGGTGCAAGAGTTGCCTATAAATTTTTACAAGTTGTGCCAAACCGCGCGAATATCATGGTGACGTACCCAAATCAGCAAAACTTTGTCGCATCGTTGACTTCTTCTGTGAATGGTATTTCGCGAGTTCGCATCGCACGCATCCATCGCAGATCGCGTCGCATCGCGTGTCGCATCGCAAAAAAGCTTCTGTGAATCCCGCTTAACTGTCTACACCAGGATAGAATTGCAAATAAAAGTAAGCTGTGATATTAGATTTGGTTCATTGCTAGGGTCAGTGGGAGCGTTTTTCCAGCCGTGCTGCTACCCACAGTCAACTGGGAACTTGTGGCCAGGCACAAGGGGTACATGGATGCAGCTAATGGGGTCGCTTTCGGCACTTGTGCCAGTGGTTGTGAGACTTACCTACTCACCCCCACCGTTAGGCGCTGCATCTGCTGCTAGGGTGTTAGCGGCCGTCGTGAGTTCCCTTCGGGAACGGATACGATAATTTACTTTTTACTTTTAGGGTCAGTGTTTGGGGTTAGGGATAGGGTTAGGGTTAGGGTTAGGGTTAGCGTTTGGTTTTGCGTTTGCGCCAGCATTCGCATTGCCCGTGGCTTAGAATTGCAATTAACTGTATGCCTTCGTATTAGATTTTGGTTTAAGATGAGGGTTAGGGTTGGGGTTAGGGTTAGGGTTAGGGTAAATGTTTTTTTTATCGGTTTTTGATCGTTTTCGCCAGCATTGGTTCAAGATTAGGCTTAGAATTGCAATTAGCTGTACCCCTTGCTAAAAGTCTTTGGTTTAGGGCTAGGGCTAGACTTAGGGCTAGGGTTAGGGTAAGGGTTGGGGTTAGGGTTAGGGTTAGGGTTAGGGTTAGCGATTGGTTTTGCGTTTGCACCAGTATTCGCAAAGCCTGTGTCTTAGAATTATAATTAGCTGTATACCTTGGTATTGGATTTTGGTTTAGGATAAGCGTTACGGTTGGGGTTAGGGTTAGGGTTAATATTTTTCATCGTTTTTTGATCGTTTTCGCCAGCATTGGTTC